AAAAGGCACAAAAGAAAACACTAATCGATAACTTAGCCTTGCTCTGCTGAAAGCTTGCAATTTTGATGCTCTAAAGACTGTGTTCCCTCTAATAGCTGAGTGGTAATGCCACACTCAGAATTGGGTCCATCTGCAGGACTTGCCAGAGTAAGACAATGTGGATGATGGGCTTATTACTTATAATGGAAGCTTGGGCAGGTATCAAGAATTTGTGCAAATTCTCAGACTGGCATTCAAGGTTCTCCCCACCAGTTATTTTAATGTCTCATTTCCCACTCTTTCATGTGAAAGTTTTGTTTCACTCTCAACAGAGTACTTTCTGCTTCCTGGACTCACCCTGACTTTCCTGCTTTTCAGCCTCTGATTTCTTTCCCCCAGTTATGAGATAAGCAGCTGAGGAAAGACAGATATTACCTTTGCTTTGATTATAAATTGTACATTCCCACCTTTTCATTTCCATGCGTATGATGCTACCTATCCTCCAAGTTCATTTTCAGTTAGCAGCAAAAAGTAGCTAACAGTTATTGAATAGTTACCATGTACCAGGAGCTAGCTTTAGTTTTTGACATGGAATAACTCATTTGATGACTATAAAGATGTCACACATAGGTACTACTATTATCTTCATTTTATAGACAAAGGAACAGAAACAGAGATGCCATCTCCAACTTTATAGGAAACCTCTCCTGATCATTGCTATGTGATGTAATTGCTTCCTTTACTGAGCCTCAATTGCACAGACTCTTCATGCCATTTAGCTCATATGGTCTTTTAGAATAGTTCTAGGTCTACCTGTCTGACTCATACTGCTGGTCTATGAGCTCCTCAAGAGAGGAAATAATGTCTTAATTTTTTTATTCATTAACTGCTTCTTGCTGAACACAAGCACATAAGGACTGTGTTCTGCATTGGCTCAGATTGATTTATTGGCCCTGGAAGCTCTAGGTTGGCAAGAAAGTTTCTAGGATTCAGACCTTGAGTACAAAACTAATTCCAAATAAGTTCATTGGATATGACTTCTGGAGGATGGGGATATTGACTACTTAGAATGGAGGGACAAAGTAGTTGGCAACTGAAACAAGTTAATTAACATTTCTAAAGCCTCAGTCTGTAAGTATTGCCCAACATCAATATCCATTGGCCCAGTCCAAGGGCTCTATCTCAAGAACAGACCCAGCCAGCAGCTCAGGCACTGTAAACTCCCAGAGATCAGAGATCAGACCTTTGCCATTATTCCTCTTTGGTGATGGGGGAGGTTTGGAATGGTTTTTAGAAAGTCAGTGGACATGGAACTCATTCAAGAGAATTGGGCTCCTTCCATCTGCTGGGCTCTGGTCTGGAGGTATAGATTCGTCTTCCTATTATTTTACTTTGTCCCTCCATTCTAAGTAGGCCAGGAACAATCTGAGTTCTACTTATCTTCCAAGATCAGCTTTCTTCTCTAGGAAGTTTCTTCTTTCTTCCTCTCATTCTCTGATCTTTTCCAACATTAGTATATGTGCCATTCACAGGACATGAAGTGCAGAGAGCCCCATGTGACATTCAGTTTCCCATGGGTACGTACTCATGGAAATACATTGATTAGGGAAACCATGTACATACACTTTATCTCTTAAACACTGCTAAAAACTCCCAAAGACCAGAGACAGAGCTTATACAGCCTTCAAGTTCCATGTTTGGGTACATAGCCTAGACAAACAGATAGCTTTGTTGCGGATCCACTAATCATTCCCCATATGCTCAAAGGTATTAGAATAGGTACTATGGGATCAGACAATTGAACAGGTAATCAAGGAAGCTGGGGTTAACCATAAGCATACTGATGATAAATGAAGAGAGTTTCAGGGAAGGGTTCTGAAGAGTCTAATACTATATATTAATGGCTTCTATGAAAATTGTCCATTACTTATAGACTGAGGCTTTAGAAATGTTAATTAACTTGTTCCAGTTGCCCAAGTAAAAAACTGCAGAGCCAAGGTTTGAACTCAAGTCTTTTGAAACCACCTCTGCTTTTCATACTTCTTATACTTAACTTTTAAAGGATTGTGGAACTAACAGCTACTCCTAAACTCACTGACAGGGGTAGTAAGTTGAACATTTCCAGAGCTCTGTTTTCTATTATTAACGGCACTTTCCACAGAATGTATTTAAGTCCCCATTTTCTTTAGTCACTGGCTTTATCAATGTGCAAAATCATTTAAAATTAATTAAATTGATTCTTATCTGCAAACTGGTTCTGGATAATGCTTTTATAGTTGCCGAAGGAGCTCTCCCAAAGGCACGTTAATGATATATTAGTTTTTCACTGTCTTTTTTTTTTTCCGGTCCCATATTTTAGGCCTTCTGTTCCTCAGAACAATAAGTGTGGCTATTATTATTATTACATAGAAGGTAGCAAAATGTTCCATCCTCCCAGAGAGATGGAATCCCTATTAAGCTATGGTAACAATGGTCCAGGCTTTGCCCATTGTCTGAGAGCTTCTCTCACACAATGACGGGACCTTGTTCTTGGATGTGCTGAAGTCATTGTCAGACATTGTGGTTATTGAGACACTGTCTTCCATGTTGGCTGATGGGAGCCTGTATTATTGCAATTATGCTAAATGAAAAGGAAATGACAAATCACGAAAAGCCCATGAACATAATTTTATTTTATTTTGTTCCAAGGAGACTTTGTATCATTATGCGAAATAATGAACCCTATTGTATGCCCTAGCTTAAAACCTTTCTTTGTTGTAAGCATCCTCAGGGGCATTACAGAGCTGTTTTGGTGTTCCTGGTCCATGTGTCACCTTGTTTAATGTTTTCGTCTGTAAAATGACACCAGGGCCTTTATGATGTGGAGGTAAAAAATGTGATGAATGGAGATATTAAAGCATGGTGACTTAAGGACTTTCCTATTTATAGTCAAAACACTAGCAAGCCTCTACTTTCAAAGCATTTTTTTTGAGGTGTTCTGGAAGTGAAAACAATGTAGCAGAGTGCAGCTGGAGATGTACTATATTAGCACGGAGAAGTCATACTTTGCTGACATTACCCAGCAAAGGAGTAGAGAAAGAAAGAGAACTTGGGCTGCCTGGCTAGTTAACAGTTACCTTTTAATCATCAAGGAGATAAGCTCATTAAATGAGGAATCTGTAGACTCCCACTCCAATGAACTTCCTCATTCTACTAAATCACTGTTGGGCTTTCTTGAAACCAACGGTGAAGCGGGCTTTTGCAGACAAAAGCAGAGGTGGCTTGAGGAACTCCTGCCTGAATCCAGAGAGAAGCCCTTCTGGAAGGGTCAGGAGCTGAGCCTAAGCACAGGCAGGCAGCTTCAGCCGCACTGGCAACACTTCAATTCAGACTAGTTGGCTGTTGGCCTGGAATGATTCCCTGACTTTTTGTTGACTTGGCCAAGGGGCTGGTGTTCAGAATTGTCTGGGTGTTGGGAGATAAGGTATTATTAATTCTGATTCTTCTGTCAACAGTCTGTGAGACTTCCCCCATCTATCCTCTATTGGACTAGGAAATCTCCAAGGCCTCTTCTGTCACTAAAATACGATATTTTGACAAGACTCTATTTTGTAACAGCAAGAACTGGTCTTCAACATTTTATAGCATTTCTTTATTGGTGAACATCATTAAGTTTCCCATCTGGAACATAAAAAATGTCAGAGGAGATTCATAAGTTCCTGCTCTTCAGTTCTCTCTTCCTCTCTTCTTAGCTCCTTTTCCTCTTCCTTATTTTCTTTGTTTCACAAATACTCTAGTTTTGACATATCTTTTGTTAGCTAATGTGAACTATAAAATGTAACTTTCTCAAACCTTTATTTTTGTTTCTCCTCACTCATTCTTTGTGCTTCACAGAGCACTTGGAACCAACTGTACAGGGAGTTCCTGTAACAGCTTTCCGTCAAATTTGAAACTTACCTGCATTTGTTCCATCATTCCCATTGCATTCCTGTTACAATAGAAGTGTTCCTTCTGATTCTTGAGATCAATACCTCCACCACTGTTCTGTAGTCCAGACACTGACATTTTGGGATAATCTACCCTTAGATTGTCTCCTATATATTCAGCCTTTCCTTCTTTAGTTGAACGTTTCAACATTTCAACATGTCCATGCTTTTCCCATCTTAACACAAAACAATGGTCCTTAAAACAACCTTTCCCATGAGTCCACTTTGCCAGCCTGTGAGCACACAAATCTCTCTTTTCTCATTCACAGACACTAAAGAATTATCTACACTCACTGCTCCCATTTTCTTATTCAAACTCATCCTGCATGCCATGCCAATCGGCCTTCCACTCCCACCATTAACCCGAGCCTTCCTTTGCTAAGTGACCATGGACATCCGTACTCTTTGGAAGATAGTTGCCATTGGGAAGTTACTTTCATTCAATCCACATACTGACTTGGATTTTTATGCACCAATTTCTGCCTTACTTTCTATTATAATGGAAGAGGTGGTCTTGATTCTATTTAAGACCTCCTCACTCGCTCTTTTTGTTGTTGTTGTTGTTGTTGTGTTACATTGTTGCTGTATACTTTTATTGTTTCCAAATTTTACCTATTAACAGCACACACAAACGAGAGGAATAAACACTTATGTGGAGAATAGCTGGAAAATGCCTACCTATAACTTAAACAATGCCAAAATGTATTCCAAAATGATTATACAAATTTATACTCTCACTAGGAATACAAGACATTTCCTGTTACTCTACATCCTCAATAATACATGCTATCTTCACACTTTAAAATGTTTTGCACTTTGATGGATGCTTAATGCTGTTTAACTGTGCTTTGAATTTTTGATTTTTTAATTTAATTTCATGCCTGTAAGCCCAGCTACTCAGGAGGCTGAGGCAGGAGAATTGCTTGAACCCAGGTGGTGGAGGGTGGTGAGCCGAGATTGCACCGTTGCACTCCACCCTGGGTAATGAAGGAAACTCCGTCTCACTCGCTCTTTTTCTCGGTGCGGGCGGCGGCAGCAGCGACGGCCTGTGTAGCAATGGCCAAGATAAAGGCTCGAGACCTTTGCGGGGAGGAGGAGCTGCGGAAACAGCTGGACGACCTGAAAGTGGAGCTGTCCCAGCTGCGCGTCGCCAAAGGGACAGGCAGCGCGGCCTCCAAGCTCGCTAAGAGCCGAGTCGCCCGCAAATCTATTGCCCGTGTTCTCACAGTTATTAACCAGACTCAGAAAGAAAACCTCAGGACCTTCTGCAAGCGCAAGAAGTACAAGCCCCTGGACCTGCGGCCGAAGAAGACACGCACCATGCGCCCCCGGCTCAACGAGCACGAAGAGAATCTGAAGACCAAGAATAGCAGCGGAAGGACGCGGTCAAGGCCTGAGTGGCGCGCTGTCAATAAAGCATGGCTGGCTTGGGGGAAAGAAAAAAAAAAACAAAAAACCTCCTCACTCAAGCCCTGGGTTCCATCACCTCCCTGGATATATGACTCTTGGAATTATCTCCTCTTCACTGGATCATGTCCATTTGCATACCTTCATGCATTAAAAGTGAGCCCTCTGAAGCCTGAAAAACAGCAAAACTACTCAAAAGAGTTCTCTATACTCGCTCTTTCCATTTTCCTTCCTACTAGTTTACTCTATTCTCTTCATTCATGCTTTTATTCCTACTATGTCATTAAAATTGTACTTTTCAAGGTCATGCATGACCTGCATCTCACCAGAGCTGAAGCCAAGTGTGAATGCTACACTGGTCTCATCTTCCTCTAACCTGGCAGCAGCTCAGTGAACGGAACACTTCGTCTGTCTCCAGGCTTCTGTGATGACATATTTTCCTGTTTTGCCCTTACATCACTGGCCTTCCTTTCTTGTCCTTTACTACTACCTCTTTATCGGACTCTTTCTGCATTCATTCTACTCTTATCCAGTCTCATGAATATCAGCAATATCAATAAGATAAAAACAGTCAAGTTTATATGCACAGATGTGAGCTACAAGTCATACTCAGCCACACATTTGACTCAGATGTTTAATAAAACATCTTAATAAGCATAAAACATTTTTCTTGATCCACTCTCTCCCTCCTCTTCTGGTAATCCTCTGTTTTCACCAAAACAAATGTTCCCACCGTCTACTCAGTGGCCCCACCCTTATTCTAGGAATCGTTATTGATTCTTCCTTTTTCCTCTTCTCCCATTGTATTACTTTGTTTTCTCCTGTTTATAGAAGAGTACCTGAAATTGAGAAATTTATGAAGAAAAGGAATTTATTTCTACATTTATGGGGCCTAAAAAGTCCAACGTTGAGGAGTTGCATTTGGTGAAAGCCTTCTTGCTAGTAGGGGCTCTACTGAATACTACAGCAGTGCAGGGTATCACATGGTGAGGGGCTGACCGTGCTAGCTCAAGTCTCTCTTCTTTTTTTTTTATAAAGCCACCAGTTCTACTGTTATGACAACCCATTAATACATTAACCATGAATAAATAAATTCATGCATCAGAGCCCTCAAAATCCAGTCACTTCTTAAAGACCCCACCGCTAACTACTGCCAGGTTGAGGATTAAGTTTCAATATGAGTTTTGGAGGGACCTTCAAATCATAGGACCCAGGTTTAATCTATTAGTACTTAATTAGATATGTATTTCAAATTTGATAATTTCTTACCATTTCCATTGTTACAGCTTCTTTCCAAAGGCACCAAAGTCCCCAGCTAGACTGCTGTATGAGCATCCTGATATTTCTGCTTCTGCTTTTGCCCCATATTAGATATTCTGCATATGCCATCGGGTGATCTTTTTAAGTATATTTTTTCATATCATTTTCTGCTTAAAATATTACCAAAGTTTCACTTTGCAGTGTAAATAAAATTTAAATTCCTTAGTTTTGCCTCTCATAGCTTATTTACATTTTATTCATAGGAACAGGTCATCTTTGTCTGCCCTTGGGTGCAAACTGCACAAATCCCATGGTTTTCCCCTGACTTACAGTAGAAGTCACTGCAGTCTCTGTCAGTCTTCATTCAGACATTGGATTGCCCAGGCCTATGTAATCATGAAAATTTAACATGACTTGATGTTCACTCTTCTTCCTTCTCCTGTCTAGGACGTGCTTCAAGTCTGCAACCTGCATCCAGGAAGTGGCACTTGGTTCTTCTCAGTTTCTCTAGGTCATGCTTCCCTCCTCTCCAACCTGCTGTCTTAGGCAGCTTCTGACCCTTCTTCAGGGCATTATTATGGAGGGAGGAGTAGTAAGGCAAAAGAAAAGCCTCTGATATTGTGGGTTTAAAGATGTTTCTGTATCACAAGATAAAGGTTTTATAGAAAATTGTCATGGATCGTTTGGAAGCCCCTTTACTGAGCACCCCTTTTCAGGTGATTCTTTCTCTTAGCAGGTGCATCTTTCTTCGAGGAGGTCATATGTACCTTCCTCAGCCTTCAGGAATGTCCACATCCCCTCTAGTTTCTGGCTGCTGGACCCTCTTCACTCCTCTAGTAACCTTGTTGGGTAGAACCCAAGATGGCTCCACTCAGCTCTTTGGCCCACATTTAGTCCATGAGAAACATTTATGTCCTCTAGGAAGGAAAGATGGTTGTCCACATCACAACTATGCTCTGCTGGAACCAATATCCAGTCAAGACAAGACTGACTGTTTTGTATTCTTAATACATCCCAAATCCACTTACTTCTCTTCTCACCAGCCAAGGCATGACAATCTCCTGTGTACCTCTGTAAACAAAGTGTTCTTAGCAGTCACCTCACAGCTACTCTTACCTGCCTCCTCAATTCATTTTCCTTTCTGCAGTCAGAGTTCTAGGGGGCATCAGAGAAAGTAAGGTTGGCAGGTTGGGGTGCTGGGCTGAGTGAATAGAGACCCGAACATGCTGTGTGGGTGGTGGGCACCTTGGAGAAATTTGCTGCAGGCCCCTTCCTCCCAGAGCAGTCAGATACCTTTTCTCTCTTCCTGAGTGCTTGTTTGGCAAAGGGGTTTTAATTAGTACAAAGAGCCAGCAGGACTTCCTTACCCTCAGGCAGTGGTTCTCTTCCTGAATGATGAAAGAGCCAGCATGTGTTCCCAGAAAATGCTAGACCTATGAAGGAACTGCCCAGTGTTAGGACTGAAAGGCACCTACTAGTTTATCTAATCCAGGCAAAAGAAAAAAGGATCACATCACTCTTGTTTGCATGAAAACAAGAGAACCTTTTAAAATGTATTTTTTAAATTAAGGTTTCTTAGGTGGCCCAGCTTATGCAGTGGTACATGTGTTCTTGTTTTGCAATGCTACTTGTGAGTCACATTGCAGAGCAGCAGGGCTCACATTGAGATATGCATCAGAATCATGTGTCGAATTTGTTAAAATTATTCCTGAGTCTACCACTGGAAAATCTGCTTTGGAGAATCCAGAGTGGGTTAAGGAATCTGCATTTTCTTCTATTTTTAGACAAATTATTATGACTATTTTTAAGTGTGGTAAAATACATATAACATAAAGTTTACTTCATTAAGCATTCAATTCCGTGGCACCCTGAGTTGTGTACCCCTCACCACCATCCAGCTCTAGAATCTTTCCACGCTATATAACTGCTTTCTCTGTACCATGAGACACCAATCCCCATTCCCCTCCTTGACTAGCCTCTGACAACCACCATTCTATTTTTACTTCTACAAATATGACAACTCTAGGTACTTCATATAGTGGAGCCATGCAGTATTTTCTAATTCTACAAATATGACAACTCTAGATACCTCATTTAAGTGAAGTCATACAGTATTTGTCCTTTTGTGTCCTTACTTCACTGTCCTTAAGGTTCATATACATTGTAGCATATGCCAGAATTTGCTTATTTTTAAATGCTGAATAATATCCCATTATATGATCATACATAATTTTGTTTATCCATTCATCCATCAGTGGACATCTGGGTTGGTCCTAGCTTTTGGCTACTTTGAATAATGCTGCTATGAACATGGATGTATAAATGTCTCTTTGAGACCCTGCTTCCACTTCTTTTTCGAATCTGCATTTTTTATAAGCATCCCACGTGACTCTGGTGCAGATGGTCATCAGCCTACACTTAGAGAATATGGGTGTGGTGAGAAGCAAAACGTGGATGCAAATTCTGACCTCTTTATCTGCGACTATTATGTGTACCCAGGCAGTGAACGAAGAACTAGAGCATTTAATGTCACTTCTCAAAATGAAAATGCCAGAACCCAAATAGTAATCGAGTTAAGCTTTCAAAGGTAATATTTGTCCAAGAGTTGTGAAAATTATAGTACTTACAGAATCAATGTTGTCTTCCCAACCAGACAACAACAAAGATATTATTTTCCAACCAAAGATGCTCTTAGCCTGCGCCAGACACAGTTAGGTATTTTCCCATATATTCTCTCATTTGTCTTCACAACAGCTCTGTAGGGAGAGCATTTATTATTAATTCTCCAATTTTCCAGTGTAGAAATTGAAACTTGAAGGAAGTATATGATTTGTATAATGTCATACAACTGGCCTTGATGAGACTCCTGATTCAGTGCATTCTCCACTGTATCAGAACATAAATTGAATTGGAAACAGTGCACCTTTGAACCTTACTGCTCAGGAATTTGTAGCTGGAGGAACTACATGGACTTGATATTTGGTGGGAGCTCCTGCTAATGAAGGCAGGGGCAGACCTGCTGGAGGCAGAGCTGTGGACTGCCGGGATGGCTACATGCACAGGCAGGAAGATGATGAGGCTGCCTGCAGTAGGAGCAGACAGGCAGTGACTGGATCTTATCCAAGGGAGAGGGAGTGGAGGCTTCCTGGGTGAGCAGAAGCCCCCTGATCTGACTACTGATTCGCTTGGCCAATGTAGCTACATAGAGGGGCTGGAACATGGATGCCAGTTGTATCACTGCATTTGTCCCTATTCTGTCCTGTTCTCCAGCCTCTCACTTTCTTGACATCTGTCCTTCTGTCCTTCCTTTATACAGAGGATGAAGGATGCTCTGCTTACTGGATCTGGTCTAGAGAGGCCCTATTCTTGGCCTCAGTTTCAGACTGGGGGCAACCACAGAACAGCAGACTAAACAGGATCCTCCAATTTCAACAATAACATTCCCTCTGCCCCAGCCAATGCCTCTTTTGACCTAGGATGCCAAGCCATGAAAATCTCCAACCTCTCCTGGGGTGTGAAAAGATTCAGAAAGTGAACAGCATCCATGGGCTGAACATTTCAGGAGGGTCTTGGCTGCTGTCCCTTACACCTAAGCTACACTGGTTATTTGACACACAAGGAGGAGCCGCACCGTCTCAGTAGGAAACCTCTCTTCCTCCTCACAGACCTCATGACTGGGATGAGACAGGCAAGCTTCTAGATAGAAGGACCCTGGTGTAGAAATTTTTCCACCTGTCCAACAGAACTTCCCATCAACCTGGGTGCTTCCCAAGGATGACAGATTTAGAAAGGACACCTCTTCTTATCAGTCATCTCAGGACAGTGTGTAAGGAAATTAGCTTATATTTTTGGAAATTAAATTGTATTTTTAAAAACCCAAGAACTGAAATTTGTATACCTACTAGGATTTGTCCTACACACCAGATTTAGAGGTTTCACTATTATAAGGAGCCCACTTTCCTAAAGAAAATTCCACTCAGAGCTTCAAAGCTAAGGCCCATTCTTCCTGAGTTTTCTCTCTCCTAAGGGTTGCTCTGATACCTGTGGCCCCTCCAGGTGCCCTCTAGGATACCAAGCAACCGTTGTAGACACCAGGTGCTCCTCTTGGTTCTCTCCAGCCCATTGGGGTGGGCTAGGACTCTCAAACCACCACACTGCACCAAATGGCCCCCAGACAGACATGAATAACAAGATGCATCAAGTGGAATAAATCACATGATACAGGGCCCGAGACCTGCCTGAAGCTGGCTGGCAGACACAGTTCCTGAACCTGCACATTCTGTCTTGTCCCACCAGCACTCTGGGACAGTTTCAGGTTCCTGCACAGAATAACATTGCTTTCAGCCCAGAAGGCCACCAGACACAACCTTCTCAAATGCCTTGGTGAGCTTGTAGGCGAGTCTAAGAGAGGGTTCCATCCTCTTCGGCCCATCCCGACTCCTGTCCTGACAGGCCTTTCTCTCAGCTATTGTCAGTTGTGGTAACTGTCTCAGTGGCTAATTCCACCTTTCATGTGAGACACCACCTCCTATATCTAGAGTGTTGTCTGGTCCCTGATGTGGTGTAAAAATATCAACTTGACAGTGACCCTAAGATTCACTGTTGTATGTGTACTGTGACCGCAGTGTCTTCCTGACACAGGGACATTTTGTCAGTTTAGACTAATCACAAACCAGATTGTTGAATTTACCTGAAAGTATGTCCTGTCACCTTTGAAACACTAGGTGGCTAATACAGTAAACACATTACAGTGAATGACCTATTTATATCTGTTTAAATCCACCTTTGTGTGAGTTTTGGTTACAGTGATTCTTTTATTTTTAGCAGGAATGAAAGATGAATGCCTTCTTGCAGTTCAGGGTCACATTTTCTTGCCTTCATCAAGCAGGACAGAACAATTAGTCCAATTCCCCAGGCAAGAGACTCTGGGCTTCTGAGATTGATTCTCAGCACAGAGAGAGCCTTGGTTCCTATGGACAGCCTGAGCCCCTGTGAGGGCCTTGAGAAGCTCTTAAGTCTGCTCCCGTTAGATGTTGGCACTTAATGCTAAACAGGAGTGTGGGGGCTGGAATATGAAGCTAGTGCAGAGTCAGTAGTCTGGATTCTATTTCTGTCTTTCTCTCCAGATAACCTTGGGGAAAATGTTCACCTCTTTGAGCCCCAATTCTGCCATCTGTGTTTTGGTTAAAAAAAAAGGAGGGAAAAAATGTCTACTAAATCACATTACTTTGTAGGTGCAACCATTTCCTAGGAAATACTTTAAACTAGTTCATAAATTTACTGTCCTTTTGTTTTTAAAGGAATCAGAACTATCCTCATCTCTCAGAGTTTCTGGGTTGGGGTTCCAGGCTTAGCATTTTATTGACATAACCTCATTTAATGCTCAAAATAGCCCTATATGACAATAGTTCTCATCCTTTAGTATGCACGAGAGTCACCCGGAGTGCTTGTGAATGCAGGTTGCTTGGACCCATCCTCTGAGTTTCTGATTCGGTAGGTTTTGGGGCAAGCTTGAGAATTTGCATTTCTAACAAGGTCCCAAGTGCTGCTGATGCTCTTGCTTGAAGACCACGCTTTGAGCACTGCTGCTGTGACATGTGTGTACATTTATCTCAGTCTTATGGAAGAAGACTCTGGGACATGGAGAAATGAAACTTGATAGAAACCACTAAGTGGCAGAAGGGGACTTGCAGCCAGGTTTAGTTGGACCCCAGAGACCTGCTATTGACCAGTGAGCTACATAGCCTCTAAAGAGGAGGCTGAAAAGAAAGAGAAGGGTCAAAAGATGAAACAGCTCTTGCCCTTTCATAATTTCCTGGATTCTACAAAATCTATAACCTTCCAGGGATCACTCCTCGATGTCCAGCTTGCGCTAAGGAATCCTTGTCTTCATTTGAGTCTTTCCAACAATCGAAGTTTACAGGATAAACATTAATTTTAAAAGCAAAATTGCCAGAGGTCTGAGCCGAGGACTCCTAACCTTGGAAAATGGCTTAAATTCTGACTCAGCAATTTATTAACTGTGTGACCTGGGACAAGTTATTTACCTTTATTGTTCTTCAATACTTATCTGTATAATGGGTATATAGCATCTATGCTATAGACTTATTATGAGGTTTAAATTACACTAAAGACCAAAATGTGCACAATAAGCACATAATAAATGATGGTGGGCATAGCAGTGATAATTGTAGTAGTCAGTATCATTGTAAACTGGCATAAGAAAGAGTTTGCAGGATTGAGTGGGAGAGCTGGCTGAGCCAGGCTGGTGAGGAAGGAGTGTTAAGGAGAGACAAGTGGTCTGAGTGGGTGGAGATGAGATAGAGAAGGTAGGGTCAGAAAAATCTAAATAAAATTTAGTAGCAGAGAGAAGCTTGATGTTGAAGAGCCAGGCATTCTGACACTGATTGTGACCTGGGTTGAGAACATTTGCTGAACTGTCTCTGTTTGTTCTAGGTAGCTGTGATGACCAAGAGGATTGAAATTCTGCTACCACTGGCTTCATGGAACCTGGTTCTAAGATACTAGGGAAGGAGACAGAGGTTGAGGCAAATAACAGCAGTTCTGGTGCCACTTTGTGTGAGGCAGGGTGACTCTATGCTTTTCATCATCACAATCTCTTGCATGTGTGATGCATTCCAGAGGAATGACAGAAAGGGGTCCCACTTTGAGTCAAATGAGAGATGGGATCCCTGTTCTGCCATTTACTAGCTGTGTTCCTTTCAATTAGTTCCTTAACTTCTTTGAGCTATAGCTTCTTCTTTCGTGAAATAGTCACAGGAGTACCCATGCTACAAGGCTGGTGTTAGAATTCAAGTAAATGAACGTCAGGAATCTGCTACAATGCCTGGACATGCAGTAGGCCTCCATAGTCTTTTCAATATCCCTGTCTCACAGTCTCACAGAGTCCTGCGAAGAAGGTTAAGGAACATAACATTACCTCCATTGTTCAGAGGAAAACCGAGGCTAAAAACTGTTAAGTGATTTGCATAAGGTCATATAGCTGAAAGTTGATATTTCTCAAATTCTGGCTCTGTGGCTTTCTACGATCCTGTGGTATGCCCTAAGGAGGAGTAATAAAATTTGTTTCACTTAATTGGTACTTATTATTGGGAGTGAAGCTTCCAGGCTGTGTGAGATTAAGGAAGAAGGAACCACAATGAATCAGCCATGTCTGCATGGCTAGGGGCCCGCAACAGGGAAGCAGTGGCTCCTATGTAGTGTCCCTGTCATGCTGGTCCTAGGTGAGTACTTTCTCAGTAAGCTTCTAGGGTAGCCAGGATGACCTTCTAAAGATTTATATTCATATCCCAGGAACCAATGAAAATGTTCCATTACAAAGTAAAAGGGATGTTGCAGATATAATTAAGGTTACAGGCTTTAAGATAGGGAGATTATTCTGGATTATCCTTATGGGCCCTATGTAATCACATGAGTCTTTAAAAGCAAGTTTTCTCATGCTGGAGTCAGATAAATGTGGCATAAGGAAAAGCTAGAGAAATTGGAAGCATGTCCTTGATGGTTTTGAAGATGAAAGGGGTCAGGAAAATTTTTCCTGATGTTTTTCCATGTCTTTTGTTCTTTTCCTTAATTGTTTTAAAATCTTTGTCTAATTAATCTGTGGAGTTATTTATACAGCCTGGATATTAATGTTTGCCAGTTACATATTCTAGTTTGAGGCTTGTGTTATTGCTCCTTTTATAGTGTCCTTTGATGAATACAAGTTTGTTTTTCACCTTAGATAAATTTAGTCAATATTTCCTTTATGTTTTGTACAATTTTGTTTAAAAAATTATTTTCTCTTACAAGATTATAATGGAATTCTCTGACATCATCTTCTAAACCTTTTACAAATAAGGAATTAGTTATCTTGGATCAGATTCTGGGTTTAGTGTGAGGTAGGAATAAAATTTCAATTGCTTTTCCATATCAATAACCAAATACTTTAATATCTGTTTTTGAACTATATCTCATATGTTCACTGATCTGCAGCTTTGTCATGAAATAACAATGACTTTATATTCGATCCCAAACCACTATAAAATTTTTCTTAATTCCTGCAGCTTATTTCTTTCTTCTTTAATTTTTTTTAAACAAGTCTTGTAGGGCAAGTCATTTACTTTATTCTTCAGGAGTATCTTAGGCAATGCCTTTTTTTCTTTCTTATTTTTATTAGAGTTAGTTTTTCCAATTCCATACAAAATCCTGCATGGATTTTCATTGCAATTGTATTGAATTTTTGCATGTATTTGGGAAGAATCGGCAAGTTTACAACATTGAATCTCCTTTTCCAAGAACATTGTGTTTCTCTTTTAACTGTCTTTCATTTATTTTCAACAGTCTTTCAATAAAATTTTATAATATTCTCCATAAAGATCTTGCATATCCTTTTAAAAAAGATTTACTCCTAAAGGATTTTCTTTGTTCTTCCTAGTATAAAAGTATGCATTTCTAGAAATTAAAATTTCTAGATATTGTTGGCATGTAGCAGTATAGTGAATTCTCATACTAATTTTGTATCTAGAAATTTGCTAAAGTCTCTAAATAATTCATATAATGAATAAATAGATTGCCATGCATTTTTAACATAGAAAATCCTATCACCTGCACATAATATGTTTTATTTCTTTACACTCCAGTTTTTATACTCTGATTTCTTTTTGGTTAATTCAGGCACTGACCAAGACCTCTATTACAGTATTGAGTAGAAGAGTTCAGAGTTTATTCCTTGACTTACTCCTTTGACCTCCATCAGAGTTCTGAAAGGGAAAGAGTCCTTTTCCTTGAAACCTCTGCTAATGAAATTTCTCCCTCTTATGGCCTTAGGAAATGTGATAGATTGGGTGTATAAAGAAAATTGGCAGACCAGACCAGCCTGTGTATGCTTCTAAAGTCATGGCAGGTGTATTTCATTGAATTTAAATGTAGTCTTACATTTGAATAATTGAAAAAGATAATAATGCTGAAAATAGTAATCTACCGAACAGAAGAATACCACCTGCTGTGAGTAAAAAAACCCTTTCTCTGGAGTTACACCCCTTCTGTGAGATCCTCACATTTCCTACGCAGAAACATTGCATATTCCTCTATCACAGGACTCCTGGCAATAGCTGCTCTGCAACTTAGGCACAGATCCAAAGCTCAACACTTCTGCTACCTTCTTAAAACAAATTATTGGGAGAGGACTGAATTAATAGAAGGCCAGTGTTAAAGGTCTCACATAATTCCTATTTCTATGGTAGCCCAACTTCTGTGGTAGCAGAGGTTTATAGTTGCTGGACGATAAAAACTACAGGACTAAGGGTTACAGCTTGGTACCTGGGGCTATTTGTCGCTGAGCCTGGCCCATCCTTGATCTTGCTGCTGAAATCTGACAAATATTCACTTGCTTCCAGATCACACAGTAGCGCTGCCCAACTTTTGCTTGGATACTGTCAACTTGCTCCAAGATTAGTACCTCTCAAATTTATGATTGGTTCACAATGAGGTTAAGTACAGAAAGTGACAGCAAGTATTCAGACCCTTTGATAACAAACAGGCTGACATTGTCTTGACATTTTGACTACTTTTATTAAAAGTATTAGATCACAATGGATTAGATTAAAAGATACTCCTGTATTACAGAGAGTCCTTGACATTCAGCCTGTTGTTTTGGAGGAAGGCACAGGGAAGGATCATCCTAGTTCGTTTTACTATTCCTTCTGCCTTCCTTGTCCTTGAAATGTTAGCTTCAACTGCACCTTCACAGGCACCGTCTCTGTCCACCTCTTCCAAATAAGACTTAATTGTTCCTTCCTTTATGTGCCTACATTTCTTGTAACTTTATTTGCTATTATTGAATTCTGCTTTGTTCTATGGATAGTTGTCTGCATGTCTGTCTTCACTCCACATTTAATTTAGAGCCCCCAAGGATAAGGTTCAGGTTTTGTTTCTACCCATTAGGGAGCCTGTGTTATTTGCCTCTCCCTCTTGAACACTGGAGTGTATCTTTTTTCATATCTGCCTGTGCATGATACATTGTCCCTAATAAGCAAATATTTGCAGATTAAGTGTATAGGTTCTGTATATACATTGATTCATTTCAGCAATTGGTTTTGAGCTCTGACTCTGTGCCAGGCACTGTTATAAAAGCTTGTGAGCAAGTGGTGGCCAACACCCATTAAGTTTCTGTTTTCATGCAGCTTACATTATATAGTAGGTAGAAATGAATGCATGATAAAGTCAGTGCTCAAGGTGTATTTGGAGAAATAAAACAAGGCCCCACGAGTAGCTAATGTATCTCTCTGGCTTTATCATTTCAAAACAGCTTTCCCCTGGTTTTGTCAGGATGAATCAACAAGGGACAGTCAGTCTGGCTTCCAAATAATCAGACAGAGACTACACTGAGAGTGCTCCGTGATAGGCTCCAGCCCCAGGATCATTCATTTTAGGGACTCATTTTGTGCATCCAGTCATGATGTAAGAAATACCACCCTGTAATCTTGTCACGTTGACAGTGCTGCTTGGGGATGCCCTTATCATTGTGTCTCAGCCGTACTGTGGGAACTTACAGATTGTGTTTCAGAAAAGGATAATTTAAAAACCAAAATGGTGAAGGGAGAGAAACAATTGCTTACTTCTGAAAATCAGGGCCTCTATTTGGAATGTGATCCTGTCACTGCCAAGTTTAGCATCCAAGATGCTTAAAATAGAGCTATTATTTCAAAATGTTTCAATGTGATGGACTAAATTTGTCTAAGCAATAGCTTCTGTAAACTAAGTCAATGGTTTCTAGACTTTAATTTTGCTTAAGAAGCAGCACCCTTAATTAGAAAAAGATCTTATGGAAAAGCTAAAGTTATAAACCAGATTAATTATTAGTTCAACAGATAGTACTTGAGTAGCAAATGCCAGACACAATAGTAGGCACTTTGTCAACAGCAGTCAACAAACAAAAAACTGGTTTTCAACGAGTTTACACCTAAGTGTGAGGACAACAACACCAGCAACAACAACAAACCATGTGCCATGGAGAAGATAAAGGTAGGAGGTCGGGTTAGAAATTGCCAAGCTTGATGTGGTGCCGAATGCAGGGTGGTTAGAAAAGGCCTCTTCAGTAAGTTAACATTGGAACACAGAGCTGGAGTAAGTGAAAGAGGAAGACTTTAGGATATCAGGAGGATGATGACTATTTTACGCAAAGAAGCAAGTGGAAATATCGTAAGATAGGTGTATGTGTGCAGAGTTCCAGGAACAGTGAGAGGCCAGTGGGGCCTGCAGATGAAGAGAATAAAGAGCAGTTGAGACTGCAGAGGTAGGGAGGAGGATGAAGGTTGGGGACATCATGATTAAGGTTTTGGCTTTTTTAAAGAATCCTGTGTGAGATGATGTGAAGCTATTGAAGAATTTTGAGTAGAGTAATCACAGGATTTGGCTTAAATTTTACATTGTGCCTCAGGAGGTGCATGAAATATGTATCTATAGTAACTGGAAGGAAGGCAGGGTATATAGGTACAAATGCAGCTAGTTTGGAAGATGTGATGATAGGA